AAATTGAACATTTGAAGAATATCTAAATAACACGTCAAAATTCCAAAACTTGGTTGATAATTAAGAAGGGAAGCTTACAGAAACTACCTTTGAGGTTTGGCCATCGTACAAAAAAAAAGGAAAAAATAAAAACACACTAAAATTACAAAAACCACCATCAGTTACACCATTCCAACATTCCACCTGCCATTCGTAGAGCTAATGCAGATCGCTCATATTGTCATATATTTTAACACTTACATCTCTAAACTTTTTTACACACGAGTAAACCTAACCTTTGGTTGTACCTTTCACAATCATATAACTCATATTATCTAAATATTACCAATGATTAACCACAAAGCTCAAGCTTATGTGCAATGTTGAGGGTTGGGGTTGTAGCCGCACAGTATTTGGTGTTATGATCAAATAAATCCCATTCACCACCAACTGACGACGCACAGAATTCATCACGCATTCGAACCTCTAGGGTAGCTTTTACAAGAGCCCCTTCATTTTAAAATGAGAAAGCAGACCAGACTAACCAAAAATAAATAAATAAATAAATAAATGCTCACCAAAACGACTGTCCGCATACGCAGCTAACCAAGTTACAGCCACCGTTCTTCTCCACAGGCTTGTAGCACTTGGGACAGGGCTTTGTATGCACAGTAATCCAGTTGACTGTCTCAGATTCGTCCTGGCACTTCTTTGTCCACAGCTGCCACATCAAGCACGAGCAAGGGGAGTGTGCCTCTAAGAGACAGCTGAAACAGAACTGAAAGCCACAAGAGCACTCCACTTCACAGAACTCGTCACTTTCCACACGTAATGCGTTCCCACAGTGTGGTACGCTCGGACACCACTTGACCATCTTGTTGTCCTCGATGTATGACTCGAGAAGAAACCGGTCAAACTTCTCGACTAAGTCAGGGTTCCTCGAGCTGACGAGACGCCTCACAACAGCTTCGTCACATATGGCATTGCATTTGTGGGCCATGCACCTGATTCGCTTGCTCTGGCCCTCATTAATTTTGACAATGAAATGCTCTGTCCAGCCTGGAAAATGATAAAAAGGTTAGGATAGTGCATTGTAAAAGTGGCACTAAAAGTGCTGAAAAGCTCTAACTTTATGAGTTCTGAAAGAAGAATGGGGGAAAATTATAGTTTGCTTCGGTTGCTAAATTTGACATGCGATGGAGCTAATAGTTGCAGAAGGCATCAAGTAGTTTTGCAACAAAGTGGTGCTTACAATCGTTGCAAAAGCAATGACCGCAATCCATTAGGGTCACGTCTTGCCCAGCCACATCATCCATACATATATTGCACATCACAGTAGAGGGAGGCTCCTCTGGGTCAAGATCAATAACAATACTAATGCCAGCATCAGCAAATATGCAAGATCTCCCTTTTTCGACATAAACTGAAATTAAATTCTCAACATCCCATCGGTAGTGAATGAGAAGAGTCCTGGCGTGGTGTTCTTTCACTGACAGCAACTCCATCACCCTACGCAAATCTTCTTTCTGTACAGATGCATGAAGACTCACACTTTTAGTTTGCCCAAAGAAGACAACAACGAAAAAGAACCCAAATACCATTTTGTTACTTCATATTTTAAGTTAAATGGAGTAAAGAAATCAAACCAGGAAAATGTGACGGTATAGAAAACCCAGAAATCCAAACACAAACTATGCAAATAAGACCTTGCCAGATAGAATATTGAAAACTATGCAAGGTTTATTACCTGCGCAGCCAAGAGAGACTCTTTTGTTATAACCTGAAGCAGGAACAACAAGAAAGTCAATAACTAATTTTGCACTGATAGAATTAACCTATGGGTTAGTAATGCACCAAGAATGGTAACATATCTATAAGAACAAGAGGTCATGGTCATTGACTGAATTGTCATTACCTTGGTATAGCAATAGACAGAATGACCAAAAAGCATAAATGAGAAGATCAATACCAGCAGATGATAGATAATCAGAATACAAACACACCTGATTAAGACAGCTGGAAAAAGGCAGCAACAATGACAGAAAGTAACAAACTTTTTTTTTTTCCTTAAACAAAAAAAACATATCCTGCTATGAATCTTACCATAGAAACACAAGTTTCATACAGTTTCCATGCAAAGAATTACATCCAATAAATATTGTCTACCAAAGACACATTTCAAAACCCAATTAGATAAGATAATATAATTAAGAGCACGAAGGGCAACAATAGCTTAAAAATAAATTATACAGTGACAATCAGATTTACAATATCTAGTTTTTTTCAAGATAAGAAAATAAATCAAAGCAATTTTACCATGGAATAAAAATGGATTCACTTGAAAACAGTAAAACTATTCTTTCGGAAAATTAAAAACCAGTAGAACTGGCCATGCTCACGTTGCCATGAATAGAATTTTCACTACCCTTGAGTCCCCAAAGCACCAAATAAAAATAAAAAATTGAACTTCACAGAACCTGAAACAAACGATCAATTTTCAACTACATAAAAAACCTCCTCAAAATTTAGTAACTTATTCTTATCTATTTTGGGAACAGAAAAAGAATCGAAGCAAAGCAAGAAATAAAAAACGCAAAAACTCGAGTTGAATTGTGAATATACTTTGCAGGTATTTGATTTCGATTGGGCCCGATGAGCATCCACATCGTCATTTTCAAGCCCATTGACCGATTCCGCCTCTCCATCGGTCGAGTAGTAATCCTCTTCGTCTTCGGTGTTATAATAATCCTCCATAATACACAACTTCTTTAATTCCAACGCAATGTATCTCTATACACACAGTGAATAAGGTGAATCAATACAAGTCAAAGGCTTGTGGGTTCCGCAAAAAATTAATCAGCGGGTAATTATGGCAGCGAAATTGTGCCGGCGATTGAGAAGTTCAATTTGAAGAAGAGAGGGTTTTGTTTCTGCTTGCGGGAAGAAGTTTGTTGCGAAGTGTTGGACTGCTGTATGTGTGTGTATACCATCGTACGTCGTCGTTTGTTTGTGGTAGGTTTTTCTTCTTCCTTTTCCTTTTTTTAGCTAGCAGGGTGTATTTAATTAGGATTTTTAAGGACTTTTTAAGATTTTAAAAATACTGGTGTATTCAATTTAGATTTGTTAAGACTTTTTAAAACTTTTAAAAATCCTGGGGTATTCAATTGGGATTTTCAAAAGTCTTACAAAATCCTGAGGTATTTAATTTTTTTGACACTAGGATTTATTAAGACTTTTTAAGATTTTGTGGGATTTCTAAACAAAAAACCTTATATGAAATCCCACTTCAAATTCTACCTCCGGACTTGAGATTTCATAGAATTCTTCCAAAATCTGAAAATCCTAGAAAGTCTCAAATCTCGAAAAGTCTTAGAATGTCACTTAAATTCCGAATTGAATACACCCCCCTAAATTATTTGGAAATACTTTTTGCCGAACAAAAGACTTTCATAAATAAACACATTTACAATTTAGAAATCAATCATTCGAACTACACGACTGAATCTAGTGGAACGACAATTCCTGTGAGTAGGGTTGCAAACGAGTCGAGTCGAACATTGGCCTTATCGAGCATAATTAATTTTTCTTTGGCTGCTCGAGCTTGATTTTTTAGGCTCGAGCTCAATGCGATAAAAAACTACAATAGCTTGAGCTCGACTCAAAATCAAAATGTTTGAGCTCGGCTCGAAAATTTTTAAGTGAAAAGTAAAATTACCATTAAGCACCTATGCGAATATATATAAGGGGTATTTTAGTAACAACTCACATATATCTCGAGCCGCTCGACAATGCAAAATATGAGCTCGAGCTCGACTCGCGTTCGTGCTCGAGCCGCTCGAGCTCGACTAGAGTTCAGTCAAACTCGAGCTCAAATCGAGCTTTGACTCAAGCGGCTCGCGAGCCGCTGGTTCGTTTGCAGCCCTACCTGTGAGGACAACGCCAAGAGAAGCCTAGACTACCACAAACGCACTCACAATAATACAATACTCCCACCATTGGACAAAATACAATTTCTAGAAGGAGAATAAACACGTAAAATCACAAACTTGACAAAATACCACAATCACAAAAAAATAAAAAATAATAAAGCCCTCCCCAATAGTCAGCTAGCTGCTCCAAAACCACCACCACATGAGCAAACACCTGAAGACGTTCACCCATGAAAGACTGGACCCCAACACCAGACGCGGATCCAGAAACTCCAAACTCCAAAAGGTTACGGTTATATAGATCAACCACCCCGCGAATCAGACCCCCTTTCAAAACAAACATCTCCAGAACAACACGCAAAGGCCAGCACTTATTGTAGTGCCCCGATTTTATTTCAGCAGACATCTGGATTATCTATAACATTATGCATTTTATATGCATTTTATTTTCTGAACTCGACAAGTTTTTGGATTAATTAGACATAAGTGTCTATTTAATCATTTTGTGATAATTAATTTACATAGACATTTTCGTCTATTTAAATTAAATTCAGAGTTTAGCCGAGATATTAGAATTTTTCAGTTTAGTGAGAGCCGATTATTTAGCCATTTCCGGTACCATCACTGTTATTTTTCTCGTCTTATTATAATTATTCGAGACCATTATTGAGCCTTAGTTTTCAGCCATTATACTTTAACTCGAGATTAACTGGCCCTTGTTAATTACATTTTCGGCTCCAATTTATTTGATTGAGAATCAAATAATTTCCTAAGTGATTTTTGGCTAATTTTGTGAGACTTTAATCAGCTTCTAAAAGCTGAATTTGCCAACCCTTTTCACGTGTATTTTATAAAATTGTCTCTAAAATTCTGGCTTTGAGGTTAAGGCAGTGTCTTCATGTTTGCATATCAGAAAATCAATTTTCTTTCCTCCCCGGGAAGAATATTATTGACAATGACATTATTGGTCATGAAGCATTTCATTTTCTTAATAGACACAGAAGTGGCAATAATTGGTTTATGTCTTTGAAGCTGGATATGATTAAAGCGTTTGATAAATTGGAATGGAAAGCTATCCAGCTCGCAATGCTTAGAATGGGGTTCAATACTCAGTTTGTCAAATGGATTATGGCTTGTATTCATAGTCCTTTATGGCTTGTATTCATAGTCCTTCTGTTGCAGTGAACATCAATGGCAAGATATGTGGCTTCATTAATGCTACCAGAGGAATAAGGCAAGGGGATCCTCTGTCCCCTTACCTATTTCTTATAATCTCTGAGCTACTGTCTGCTAATTATCTTCTGAAGATGAAAAATGGTGTTTCAAAGGAATCAGATTATCAAGGGAGAGACCTCTTTTAACCCATCTTATGTTTGCAGATGACACATTACTATTTTTCAAAGCAGATGTGAGGCAGGTAGTACTTATTCTGAATATTCTGCAGGCTTATAAGGACTTCATAGGGCAAGAGGTGAACTTATCCAAATCCACAATCTTTTTCAGCAAGAATACACCTATCCAGGTAAGAGATCATATCTGTTATTTGATGAATGGTATTCAATCCCACTCTTCTATGAGATACCTCGGCCTTCCTTTTGGAATTGGAAGATCTAAGTAAGAGGCCTTTCAGTACATCCTTTCTGTGGTTAGGAGTCGAGTTTTTAACTGGAAAAATAAGTGGCTCTCCGTTGCGGGAAAAGAAATTCTAATCAAGGATGTTTTGCAGGCATTACCAGTTTATGCTATGTCTTGTTTTTTGTTGCTTACTGGTCTATGCGGATAAATTTTCAATGTTTGCTGTCAATTCTGGTAGAGCAGAGGCTCTGAGGCTAAAAAAGGGTTTCCATGGGTGGCTTGGAGTAATCTGACACTATTTAAGGAGCATGGTGGACTTGGATTCCAAGATGTACAGCTCTTTAATAAAGCTCTCATCTCTAAGCAACCGTGGAGGCTTTTATCAAAACCAAATTCCCTGGCTAGCAGAATTTTAAAGGCAAGGTACTATTCTTACTCTACACTTTCTGAAGCACAGAGGAAACCCAGCTCCTCTTAGCTATGGAATTCCTAGTTGTTAGTACTGAATGACTGTGGACAGTGGATGAGAATTGAAATCAGAAATGGGAAAAACACTCCAATATGGGATAAGCACTGGATCCTTAACAGAGTGGGCAGAGCTATAGATCTTTTGCCTGGTATAGATGGAGGCATCAAATGGGTTAGTGATCTAATGTCAAAAGATGGCTATAACTGGGATGAAGCAAAAGTCAGGACTTTTTCAGCAGATACTAGTGATTTTATCGTGAGCATTTCTTCTTTAAATCCCCTAGCAGGAAGATAGATGGCTTTGGACTCTCCACAAGAAAAGGTACTTTTTCTGTTCACTCTAGTTACCCCCCGAAGTTTATTACAGAAAAATATCTTCGTGTAGACAAAACACAAGGAAGTTCTGATTTGGCTAGGGATATCAAAGTTCAAAACAGAAGTTGGGGTTTGAACATAATGGGGAAAATCAAGCATTTCATTTGGAAATGCTGCAATGATTCCCTTCCAGTTAGCTTGAATTTGAAAACAGAAGCTTTGAAGTTAACACCATCTGTAGGTTATGTGGAGAACGCCAAGAAACTGTTTAACATATTCTTTTTCATTGTATTCAAGCGCAACAGACTTGGAGATTAGCCCCTATCAGGTGGGATGGGCCTCAACCGCAGGAAACTCTTAAAATCTGGTGTTGGCATGTATGTCAACTAGATAACTCAGATGTTTCTGAAGCCCGAATTCAACTCTTGACGTATATTTTTTGGTGGCTTTGGAAAATCTCGTAATTTATGGGTCTTTGAGGGAGTTCGACGGCCTGCTCACCTTATTGTCTAAGGAGCTGTTCGTGACTGGAATGGATTCTTAGGGAGAAAAGGGATTCAGGCCAGCACCAGGTCATCTTATTGAGCAGATAGGCTAGGATCTGAGATCAGTGGGCTGTCTTTTATTTACTTTCGGTTTTCTTGTTTTTTCACGGGTAAAGGTTCGGAGATGGCTCACTTCTTTATCGGTGATGGCTCACTGCTTTACTTCCTATTCTGTTGTATGATTGTGTTGTGGTTTTCGGTTTTTTAGTCATCTAGACCACCTGCGTCTGGATCTCTCATTTATCGGCTTCTAGGTTGGAAGATTACTGTTCTTCAGGATTCTTGTAGTTCTTCGTGTTGTTCATGTCTGTTTCTCGTAAACTCTTCGGGTTTTTATGAGAATTCTATCATCTTGAAAAAAAAAAGTCTCCTCAATGGGCAAGAAGAGACTTTATTTTTTTTTCACCCCAAGTTTATTTCTCTCTCATATATTTGTGCGATCGTAAACTTTCAATTTTTCATATTCTCTCATGCCGCAAAACACACCGATCAAAACCCCTCCATCATCGATCAAAATCACCATCAAAACCTGCCCTCTCGCCATTCTACCCCAGCCCCGTCGCACCTTTCTTCGCCGCAGACGAGTCCTGCACGACAACTGGTGAGCGTCGTCAAGCAGCCACGTTTGAGGATCTGCCGGGAGGTGAGACCGAATCCAGTAGCAGGTTCCATCCTCATCATCCATCACCATCAACGTTCAATAGGAACAGCGCCTTGACGTGAGAAAAGCAGTTGCGTGCGAGAAAGAAGAGTCGAGGTCGATTTTCGTCCGAGGCTACCCAATTTCAAAATTATCGATCCTTTCACGTTTCAATTCCTGAAGGAGGTATATGGCTTAACCTTCTTGAATATTTAGAGTTTTATTTGAAGGGTTAATAAAGCTTAAGGTTCATGCCTAGCTTATTCCATGATTTTGAGAAATTGTGGACATTATTCATGATATTAGAATTATTGAGTTGATGTTGGAATCTCGAACTTGGACGTATATTAGCCTCTGAAAATTATTATTTTTTAAGTATTTGAGGGTCGGGAAAAATGAATTGAAGTTATTTAAACCGGGATTATATTCGCCTTGTTCGGAGCCTTGCCGGTGTAACACCCCGTTTTATTTCAAAGGATTTACTGAATTTATTTATAAAAATCAGAGTTTATTTTTTTTGCAAAATCTCA